TTTCTAGGGGCCTCAAAACCAAACAGCTTTATCATCAGCAAGTAACAAGAATACCCAAGAAACTAGAAAGCCAGTGAATTTTGCTTTCATGTCAGGTGAATTGACTGAGATCAAAAGCTAGAAATGTGCCTGCTGTTTTAAAATCCCCCTGCAAGGAGTAGGTGTGGTCAAGACTCCAAAGGAGGAGAAGGTCACCATCAGGGTCACGTCCATGAAGTGATGTGAGACCCCAACAGTGTCACAAGCATCAGAATAAATAAGGTGCCAGATTACAGGATTTAGGCCCTTGGCAAACAGGAGTCCACAATTAGGGGCGGGAAATCAGCAGGTCCTCACAGATGGAGGTGGGGAGAATTAGTGGGCCTTCCTGAATGCCCAAGGCAGAATCCTGGCAACATGGCAACAGCTTGTTTCCCACTGCAAGGGAGCTGGTGAAGGGCTTGTACAGACGTATACATGCATGTCCCTCCTCCCCTCTGTGCAAGAGTATACACCTGGGGAAAATGGGCTTTCAGGTAGATGCTGAGGTATGTACGCTGGGAACCAGGAGGGCACCAAGGGGCCTGAAAAAGTGGAATGTCAGGAGTGCTGCCTCAGAGACAGTGCTCTTTGCCATTCCTCAAGGGTGGGGGGTTGAAGCAAGCTTCCTGGAGGAACTCCAGAGGGGCTGGAAGGAAGCTGGACCAGGCTGGAGAAGGAGAAAGGGAGGGGGAGGTCTCTGACTGAGGAAATTGGGCTATGTGATAAGGAAGTCACTGCCTTGGCCCTCCAGTGTGTAGTCAGAATCCAGAGCTAGGCAAGAGGTCCACAGGGAAGGAGAAGAGCTAAAGAGAATTGGGTCGAAAATAGGGATATGAAAATGTTCTTCGAAAGTAAACTGCACGAGTCCAACAAATGTGTGAGAAAATGCCCAACCTCATTGCTAAAACAAAGTAATGAAAACAAGACACTTTCTTTTTTTGCCCATGAAATTAGCAAAGAATAAAAATCAGAATGTAAATGTGAGCAAGTTTTCTGGAGGATGATGTAGTAATGATTATCAACTGTGTTAAAAATGCTCATCCCCATTGATTCAGCAATTCCATTTCTAAAAATCTCTCCAAAGGACATAGAGATGTACCCAAAGAAATACAGCAAAGTTGTTTGTTTATAGTGTTTCTTATAACACCTACCACTCTCCCTCCAGGAGAGAGAGACAGAGAGAGACAGAGAGAGAGAGACAGAGAGAGAGAACACCGATGTCCAAAACTGGGGTAAGGTAAAGTTGAGATTTACCTATAGAATGGAATAGCATGCAGCTATTGACGGCTGTATGTTGACATAGGAAGATGTTTACAATACGTCACCTCGTCAAAGTTTTTGAAACTATATATAGTATTATACCCCTGCAAAAATCTATATAAAACATACAAATCTATGGCCTGGAAAAATAACTGGAGGATCTTATATCAAAAAGCAAATAGTCTTTGTCTCTAGGGGTAGAAATACAGAAGATTTTCTTTTGTTGTGTGGGAGGGGATATATTTTCCACATTCTGCATTGAGCATGTGTTATTTTTGTAATTAGATGGCATGTTATATTAAAAATGAACAGATTGCTTACATCTAGGATTTTTCTTAAAACAACCAGAAATGAAAGCTCCTGAATCATCTAGATTCTAGAAGTAAATTCCTAAATCTGTTTTTCTTCTGAGCTTTTCCCCTTGAGCAGAGGCACATTTCTTAGTCTCTTTCTCACATATCTGAGCAGGTGGCCCTGTTATTAAAAAATAAATAAAATACAGTGTCAGACACCACCCTCCAGCCCCATCCCACTCCCAGTGTTTGCTGACCTAGGCATCTGAGCCAACTGGGGATCTGCCTCCATCACAGCCCCTGTATGCTAAGAGTACTAAGAATCACCTGTTTATCTGTAGGTCCCCATTCTGCTGTGGATGCCCTTCTGAGCTCTCAGCTGGACTCTGAGTAAACCAAGCTAGAGGGAAATCCCCAGACTGGTGTGTGAGGACACCACCTCCCCTTCCCAGCCCAGGTAGCCACAGAGCCCCAAAAACCTTCAGTGGGCCTCAGGTACCCACCAGGTCTAATCCTCCCCATGAGCCCTTTCTCTCCCTCACACACAGCCAAAACCAGCTCGGTGGGGCGAATGTGGAGGAGTCATGCAATGAGTCTTGTTGCATATCTACCCTGATCCTTGACCCTCAAAGCAGCAAAGTACAAATTATTATTTAGTCAAACTGCCATTTGATTATGGCAAAACCCAGCTGCCGAACCCAGAGAGAACAGTCTTTATGGTGGGTAGGAACTTCCTGTCAAGGAGAGTTAATTTTAATTTTTCCACTGAGCTCAACCCCAAAGTGAGGTTGATTGCTACTCAGCAAGATGGACTGCATTAGTGGAGGCTTTAATTGAGCACAGATCTACATCCCCAAAGCATAATGTTTGTTGTATACATACTTTGGGACAAGAAGAAAAATGAAAAACAGACCTTTCTGAGGAAAAATTGAAAGCAGAATGTGTCCCATAGTTAGGATAGCAGCCCCAAAAGCCAGCTGGGGGGTTTGGTGGAACTCCCCACCCCCCCATGCCTCAGTTCCAATGGGCTGTTTGCAAATGTTTCTAAAAGCTCAATGCCTCTGTTCAGGTCTCTCTTTCTCAAACACGGACTCCATCGTGGTTCCTCCCATGGCCAAAACAAAGCTCCAGGAAACCAGCGATAGACGAGAGGCCATGGCATGTGTTTCTGGTGCAAGGCTCCTCTCAGTCTAGGGTGTTGATCCACATTGGCCACTATGGCCACTTCTGTCCATGTCCTTTTACCAGTGGCCTTGAGATGAGCCCTTAGTTATTTATTTTTTTTTAAATTTATTTTCCCCCCAAAGCCCCAGTAGATAGTTGTATGTCGTAGCTGCACATCCTTCTAGTTGCTGTATGTGGGACACGGCCTCAGCATGGCTGGAGAAGCAGTGCTTCGGTGCGCGCCCGGGATCCGAACCCGGGCCGCCAGCAGCTGAGCGCGCACACTTAACTGCTAGGCCATGGGGCCGGCCCCAAGAGCCCTTAGTTATGATTCCAGACCCTTGTTATCTCTTCCCTGAGCTATAGAACTGGTCTTTTTGCTGTTGAGGGAGATGTCGTCTTAAAACCCAGATGGGATCACCCCTCCTCAAACACTATCAAAAGCTCCCCTTGACCCCCAAATACAGATTCTGGCATTGAAGCACTTCCATGATCAAATCCCTCACTCCCTCTCCAAACCTTTCTCTACTCTCATCTCACATCCTATGCTCTGGCCAAACTAGTCCCCTCCTCCCTGTCCCCATTCCCAGTATATCGGCAAGTCTGCTGTGATACCACCCTTGTCCAAGCCACCCTCCTCTGTTGGCCATTCAACTGCAATAGCCTCCAGCAGAGCTCCCTGCTTCTTTTTTTTGCCCCCTCCACTCTGTCTCCACACATCAGCCAGACTGATCTTTCAAAAAGTAAGCAATGCTCACCCCTTCCTTAAAATCCTCTGTGGCATGTGGCATTCCACCATACTTCGAATAAAATCCAAACTCTCCCTATGGCCTACAGGGCCCGTCTTTCCAACTTCCTCTTGTACCACTACCCCCTCACTACTACAGCCACACTAGTTTCCCTTCTGTTCTTAGCACTTACTGTTCCCTCTGCCTGGATGAAACACTTCTCCTCCAACTCTTCCCCTAGCTCCTTCTCATTCCTCAGTCTTAGTTTAAATGCCACCTGCCTGCAGTGGCCTTCCCTGACCACCTTACCTAAAGCAGGGTCACAGTTGTTCTGCACAGTTCTTAGTGCTACCTTGAATTATCTTGTTTATTCCTTTGTTGCTTATTTGCTACCCCCATTAGAATCCACGCTTCCTGAGGGACCTTGACTAACCTGTTCACTGCTGCCTCATCAGCACCCAGGATAGTGCCTGGCACGCAGTAGACTCTAAATCATTATCTGGGGATAAATGATTGGTTACAGGAAATAATAAACATTTCCTGAAATGCCTTCATTTTCTCCAGCCTCCATCCCTCAGGTTGTGCCATTTCCTTGGCCTGGTGTGCCCTTGTCTCCCTCTTCACCTTCATCACCAAGTATTGACACTTGCAGTAAGGCAGGCTCAGAAGCCCCTCCCCCACACAGTCTCCCCTGCCCCTTTAGGCAGAAATAACTCCTTCCTCTGACAGCCTACCTCTGCCTCATGTTTCAAGGCCACCTACTTCAACATGACTTTACTCTTTGTTCCTAGAAATTCTTGCCTAGAAAGATAAGGCTATAAACCAGTAAATAATTTCACTGTTGGCTTCAGGAACATCCCCGAAATCAATTCAAACAATAGACAGCTCAAATAGCTCTCCTTTTCAGAACAATGCTTTGCCCAACTAGGGAATGACTCACTTACGAAAGTGACGGTTTTGCATTGTGCTCACCAATCCCGTGAACATCAGTATCAAGAATTTTGCCCAATCCCGATCTTAAACCATTCATTCAAGCCCCCACCTCCATACTCTTATAAACATCATAGCCTCAGAGGAGAACCCTGCTTTGCAGGGTCTCCCCAGAGGCTCTGTGAAGGTGGTCCTCTCCGTTACATTTTGCTTTGCCTGATAATCAGGTTATTCTGGTGACCTTCTGGGAGATTTGGCAGGTGACAATCCCCTCCTGCGACCACTGTAGTGTCCAGCACCGAGCTCTTCTATATTTGGTGAATGATGAAAAAATGAATGGACGAATGAATGGCTCGCCTACCCCAGCCTCCAACCCTCTCCCTTCTAGAAATGGCTGAGCCAGAAACATGAAATGGCACAGGCTGCCAAGGGGTAAGTAAGAGCAGGGCTTTGCACTAGGTTTAAATGGGCTTCATTTCAATGGCTACTCTTTATTTGAGAAGCCGGAATTGACGGCAGAAACCCGTGGGCGGCCCCTGAGTTTCCCCCCAGACCCAGACTAAGACACTGCCCAGCCGACCAAGCCCCTCTCCCTTCCGCCCAGGGCTACGGCGCTGGACCGCTATGGGCTGCAGAAGGCGGGCTTCACGCACGTGCTGAACGCGGCCCACGGCCGCTGGAACGTGGACACGGGGCCCGATTACTACCGCGACATGGCCATCGAGTACCACGGCGTCGAGGCCGACGACCTGCCCACCTTCGACCTCAGCATCTTCTTCTACCCAGCGGCCGCTTTTATCGACGCTGCGCTCCGCTACGATCACAGTAAGAGACCTGCGGCCCGCCCGCGGCCCCGCCCCCGGCCAGAGACCCCGCCCCAGCCTGAGGGCCCGCCCCTTACCCTGGCTGGAAGTGGGATCCGCGCACACCAAGTCTGCTCACCTCTCTAAGCCTGCCCTGCGGGAATTGCATGTGGTTGAGCTGGAAATGTCTGAGCCCCTGGAGGCCGTGAGCCCCACTGAGCGTGCTGCTGGTGGGGTTCGGGCCTTGATTGCTGCTGTGGGGAATCAGAATCGGGAGAGTTCAGAGGAGAGGCCTTTGGCCTGAATCTCTCTTCTCTAAGGCACATCAGCCAAGGGGCAATCTGGGCGCTCTCAAAGCTGGGATGCGGCTGAGACACTAATTGTGCCTGGGCACAAACCTGACTAAGAGCCAAGGGCTTCAATGCCAGAAAACCCTCAGGGAGCTGACTTGAGTGGGAATCTGTGGAGAGACTTCAAATTCTCCTGCCAACCAACCAAGCCCACTCCCTCCCCCTCACCTCTCTTCACCCCCAGGTCACACTCAGTCTAGTGAGGCCTCGTGTAGAAAGCTGACAATCTAGCCTATATAAGTGACAAACTATATTTGAGAATCTGAGTTTTGCACCCATGATGTCCAAGTTTCCCAAAGTTAATTATCCATCTTTTATATCACAGTGCTAGTCCTTGCCCTCAAAATGGAGTTTTAGCTGTCCTAATCCAGGGAAAGGCTACAAGTTTATTTGGGAGAGAAGGGCACAGTTTAGGTATGCATCAGGTAAGACAATATGCAGTTATTGCTGCAGGGTGTATTTCAGTGACATTCCATAGAGGCCAGAGGGACTTGAGCTCCCTAATCTGTGCTCTGACTTCAGCCCCATGTGTCACACCCCTTAATGGGGCCATCACATAATTCAGGGTATCCAGTTACTGAAAGCCTTTCTTACCACAAGAGGTTGGGATTACAAGCCTCATTGGCTGACCAACTGGCCTGCTTCAGGAACTTGTAACCTGTAGCTGGGCCTAGGCCACATCTGCTGAACAGTCCCAGACCTTGATGGCTGTCCCAAGGTGGCCCTTGCCCTATAGCCAGCCATAGGCACCAACAACTTGTCATTATTTTGGTTCAGAAAGCAATGTGACAATGAAAAAAAGCCCATGGAGCTCAAGTGCTTGTATTAGGGGATGCCTCATTTCAAAGTCATCCTTTTATGAGTCTATTTATGGACTATCTTTTGTGTTATGCACATTCTGGGTTTCCAAGCAGGATCAAAAAGCAACTGGACTCTGACTCATCACCATGAGGTAAAATTCACCTCAAAGTATTTGAAGTTAACTGAAAACATATTTGACATGAAAAAACAAAAAGCTACAACCAGCCAATCCTTCAGATTCTGTTTAATGTGCTCACTTGCCATTACTATGTCTTTGACCCTCCCCTTAATAGAAGGGGTCTGGCAGGCTTTGGAGAAGACAGGCTAGGTTCAAATTCACGCTGTACAACTTACTAACAACGTGATTTCTCTGAGCCTCGGTTTCTCCATCTGGTGAGGAAAATATCGACCTTGAAAGGTTATAATGAGGATCAGCAGTACCCACATAAAGCATTTAGCATAGAACCTGGTGCACAGCAGACTCTCAGATGGGTTTGATAAAGAGAGGTCATGCACTGCGAAGCACATAACCACACCAGCACATGCACATCGTAATAATAAAGTTTCCAATCTCAAAAGGAAAAAAGGCATTCCAACTTTGAACTAGTATGATATACTCACATGACAGCTTGTTTTCGGTTCCTTTTAGAGTCTGCCCCCACTGCTGAATCAGGAAAGAATGGGTCTCTCCAGTCATATGTTTAGGCCTGGGTGGATCAAAGATCATCCATGTGGAGATGTCAGGCTGGTGTGGATTGTGACTGGTAGACCGAGTGGTTGAAAGCACCCAGTAAAGAAAGGGTCAAGAGGGAAAAGTATATACACAGGGAAAAGTATACATGCACCGAGAACATACAGCAGATAGAATGGGTGGGTGGGGGTGTGGGACTAGACCAGTTGGCTGGAGAGGGGGAGCAGGACACGACCGCATTGCCAGGTGGGAGGCTGGGCTCCCTTCTCAGTGCCGTTGGCACTTGCATGTCTAAAGGTTTCCTCAAGTCTGGGCTCAAATCAAACTCCAACCCTTCAGGACCAGACAGAGAGCGTAAAGGAATGAAGCTGTCTGTGTGTAAGGCAGTGGGGGTAGGAGGGGGGTGCTTGTGGCTAAGCGGAGAGCCCCATATCCCCTCCCAAGGGGGCAGCTGCTGCTCAGTCCCAGGCAACAATGGTCTCGTGAGAATCGGGGCAAATGTGATAGATCTGACTTTTCAGGAGAAGTCTCTAATCTGGATTTTAATGTAAAATCGCTCAGTTTTTAAGTGTTGGCAACAAATTGAAAATTTCTTAAAATACTGCAAAGGCCAAACAAAAGAAATCCAATGGCTGTCAGTTTGTAACCTGTGGCCTGAGTGGTGAGGGTAGTTCAGCAAGGACATTGTCATAGACTCCATACAGTGGAGACGGCCTGTGCTCAGCCTGCTTGCCACACATAGTAGGGGGCCTGGTTGTGTCTTGTCATGCATTGGAAAACCAAGGGACACTACCGCAGCAATTTAGAGCCAGGTCCACTCATATGTTTCTTATTATACTCTTGATGTAAGAGGTGTTGATGGACAGTCTAGCCAACAGGCAAGGCATCTCTCCTACCTCTCTCTTGTCCTTCCTTGGCTAGTTTTAGCCAAGTGTACACTGCATCCCACCACGGCCCCTCACAGATTGTCTTGTTCACTCTTTTTGAAAAGTGTTCCTTGTGGTGCTGTACAGCTGTACTCGTGGCCTGTAATCAGCCCCATGGGGCCCATCCCTACCTCTACCCTACCCTGATTTGCCCCTTTGGAAAGAACACCCCAGGCAACCTCAATCAGTCTTGAAAAATCTTAGAGATAATCTAGTCCAGTGACCTGCCCTGAGAGCTGGGGAAACAGAGGCCCAGAGAAGCCAAGTGATGTGCCCAGGGTCACAGAGCTAATCAGAGGCCAGCGGGAGTTCCTTCTGTCACTCAGACCTTGTGGCAGAGTCCTTTGCCCTTCTTTAGAGCATCTGGTGACTTTGCTGTATAAAAGGTCATCAAATATCATGGAAGGTTAGGCATTCCAGCTGGTTATAGGATCAGAAACAACTGAATTTGTCATTCTTCATCAGAAAAAGAAATACTGACAAAATACTGCCATGGGAACCCTATTGGGACAGCCTTGACTGCTCCTGGCACGGCGGCCTCAGAGGTGAATTAGTGTGGTTTTAATTTAATGAAATCTTCTAAGAAATCCCCGGGCAGATTCCATGAGGCTCTAAAGATCAGATTTTAGTATCACCACTCTCCTTTCATTCTTTTTCTTAAACAAACAGTTGCCTGCTTTTGAAGCCATCTTAAAATCTATTATGGATAAGCTAGGTGTGAATAAATAAATGAAGTTTGCTTTTGAGCAGGAGGTTGATTCTCTGGTGTTTCTAAGCTTTAACCAGATCAGATTTTCAGGATGTTTTAAGGGTCTCCTGCCCCACTGCAGCACACACAGTCCTGCCCTCCACACATAGTTCAAAACACACCAAGCACCCTTTTTTTCTGAGGACTTCCACGTGCCCAGAACTGTTTGAGGAGAAGTATGAACTCTGCCTTCGAGTGCTGCTGAGGAAGGCAAGTTCCAAGGTAGTGAATGAGACAGGCAAAGGGCTCCCCCAAAACCAAGGAAGGAGGCTGCTTAGAGAGTACACACCTGGCTGGGGGTGGAGGTGGGGTTGGGGGGATAACAGGCTTGGCCTGTATGTCTGGTTTGAGTGACAGAGGTCTACCTTCTGGTCACCAGTGAAAATATGCCATTGGGGAGTAGTAGAGATTCTGGATTTGGGTTTTCTTCATCAGATTGTGGGAATTCACCTTTTGGTAAAGGCCAAAGGGGAAATATTTAATTGAAATCACCATTTTTCCAACATAGATTGTGCCCTATCAGTCAGTCATAAAATCAGTTTAGTGGATGTGACTAGTATTTCTTTTAAAAAAAATTTGAATAGATTGGGAAAGAATAGAAAACATGAGCATGCATTGTACATCATACAAGTACGTATTATTTTGTGAAACTTTTGTCTGATACACACACACTTGTGATACCACAGAGCATTTCAGAGCTCTGATTCTGGTGTCAAGTGGCCTGGGCTTGAATCGCGGTTCTGCCACTTCCTAACTGTGTGACTTGGACAAGCCACTTCTCTGCACTTTAGCTACCTCCTCTGTAAAATGGGGCTAATAAATGTTATCTACCTCATTGGGTGGTTGTGAGGACTGACTATGACAAAATATGTAAAAATGTACTTGGAAGATATGGGGGTGAGGTGAGGCTACTTACGTGTTAGCTGTGAATTTTATGTTGTGTTTTTGGGGGTCACACAAAAAAGTTTGGAAGCCGCTGATCCAGAAGATTCCAACCCTGACAATGCTGCTTTCGGTCAGGGCCCTAACCCTGGCTGGTGTGAACTCACAGAGGGCCTCCTAGTTTCTCTGGTGTGGGACATGTCGGGAACGGGCCAAATGCAACCTTCCTTGCTTTTTCTTCTGAACTCTTCTTTCTCACCACCTGGTGCTGGGCCCCAAAGGACGGTGCTGAGCAGAGCCACAGAGCAAAGAGGGGGCAGCACCCTGAGGGTCCGGGGACAGGCCCTTTACCCTAGGGAGATCTGCCAAGCACACAAGGCTCATTAACGCCACTGTGGTAAAAACAGAATTCAGCTTCAGGAGCTCCTGCTGGAGCCAACCTCCCCCACCCCACCCCCCCAGCCCCGCTCCTTTCCCCCTTTCTCTTCCAGCCCCTCTATCTCCCTTCCCCCTCCTTCTGCCCTCCCCCTCCTCCCACTTAACAGACTTCAGGCTCCCAAAAGTCTTAACGAACTACAGCTTTCGTCTGTTTCAAACATTTAGTCATGACAGAAAGAATTACCCTTTTTGCCAGGAGAGGAAGAAACGCTTTAGTTATCAGCAGAGCTGGCAAGGGGCCAGCGGCCTCTGGAACAGTCTGTGGGGATTAGAATGCCAGAGGTAGACATTCCACTCCAGGAGCACAGTCCTGCCGGGTGAGAGTCAAGGCCAGCCTCCTCCAAACCCAACCCGCAAGCCAGAAGCCGGCCCTGCTTCTTCTGGCCAAGGTGTGCAAGGCAGAGGTGGTGTGGCCACACTCTTGTAGCTCAGCAACGTGGAGGGTGGGATTGGAGGGCCGCCTGGTTAGCTTGTGGAGATTCCTGAAAATGAATTGTGATGAAATTAATAGTTCTTTATGGAGCACCTCTCTGTGCCAGCACAGTGTGTGTGGAGAGGCCCTCAGTGGAGTCTTTGTTGTTGGGCAGGGTGTGCAGGCCACTCCAGCCAGGGTAGGGTGGGGAGAGAGAATCCTGGTGCCTGGTGTTTGGGGCCTCTTGGATTTCTCATGCTGCCTTGGCTGCTGATCATCACCACTGTCCTGGGCATGGTCCTGTGAGGAAGATGGGGGTCGGGGGTGAGAGGGAACAGGGGAGCCACGTCCATTCAGAAGTGTCTTTCCATGCTGTTCTAATATCCTACTGATGCTCTGTAAACCCAGTGATGTCCATGAGTGTCTTCTTGATCATCCCTCCAGGCCTCAGGCCTCAGACTTGGGAACAGGGACAGCATTGGAGTCACACAGCTCAAGCTACCCCAACCAGCTCAACCCCAGCGGAGTGATCCCATGACCACAAGAGAGGGTGGCAGTGGTGGGGATGGCCAGAGAGGCTAATCTTGTGGCCAGTGGCCAGTGGCCAGCACACAGTAGGGCCTCAATAACAAGTTGCTTTGAACTATTTCTAGTGATGGTGCGAGTTTTCAGGGTGACCGCTGGCAAGTCATTTCACCTCTCTGAACCTTTTTCCCATCTGTAAAGCAGGGATGATGATAATGAAACCCTGAAGGTTGTGTTAAGGATGAAATGAGATGAAGCGCGTTGATGCACTATGTGAGCTCTACAGCGCCACCAAATGGAGGCCCGAGGGATCGGGAAACTGCTTCACATCATGACTTCTCAGCTGGGCCCAGCTGTTGCCATCTTAGTGGCCAAAAGGAGCTTTTATTCTTGTGGAGATTCTTCTAGATTTCTGGTTCTCAAACTTTTTGGTCTCAGAACCCTTTTACGCTCTTAAAAATTATTGAAGACCTCAAAGAGGTTTTGTTTACATAGATTATATCTATCAATATTTAGCCTACTAGAAATAAAAACTGAAACATTTAAAAATATTCATTCATTTAAAAATAATAAACCCATTGCATATTAACATAACATATTTTTATGAAAAATTATATTTTCCAAAATAAAGTTAGAGAGAAGAGTGGCATTATTTTACATTTTTACAAATCTCTTCAAGGTTAAGCTTATTAGAATTCAGTTGGATTCTCATAATCAGCTTCTGCATTCAATCTTTTGTGATATATTGTTTTGGTTGAAGTATATGAAGAAAATCCAGCCTCACTCAGATATGTGGTTGGATAAGAGAGGTATATTTTAATTACCTTTTCAGATAATTGTGGATATTCTTTGATACTACACCAAAACTGGACAAGTGATAGCTTCTTAAAGGCTAGTTGTGATGTGGAATCTGAAGCCACATCAATAAACTTCATACTCTGTTACATGAAAATCCATTGGTCTGTCTTGCATTTTGAATGGATTTTTTACCCATGAATGATTTTGTAATATCCCACATTGGTCATTTGGAAAATATTGGTTTACTAAGATATGTAGATCCTCCAAATGCTGACCGTTTCCACTGTACATAATCAAAAAAACACATTTGTAAATATCACCACCTCTCAACAGAAAATCTTAAAAGTGTTGGGAAACTGTCAACCTCACGGCAACAGATACAAGTTTCCCAAAATTCTAATTTTTGCTTGAAAGCTTGCATTTTATCACTGGCAACAAATACCGTCAGTTGTTTTCTTTGACGTAACAGCCTCACTTTGTTCACTTTTGAGAAAAAGTCTGACAAATACCCAACTTTGAATTACCATGGTTTTTCTGTCAATCATTCTTTCAAGTAAAAATGATGTTTCATGAAACAGCGGCTAATTCAGCTTGCAACTCAATCTCCCATGTGCTTTTCCTTGAGAGAACAATCGTTCTTTGGGATGCAGCCAAAGTGCTCTCTGTGTACATCCCTTTTCAGCACACAGAATATTAAGAAGAAGTGTAACCAAGGGCTGAAATTTGATAAAATTAATTTTTACTACTTCATTAAGGAGATTCTTAAGGGAAATTGGCTTTTTTTCCCCCGGAGAGTGCATGGTGGTGAAGAATGCAGTGATTACTAGTATAGTTTGGTGCCTCTTCTCCCCGCTCCATTTCAGATAAGATCCTGGTTCACTGCGCCATGGGCCGCAGCCGGTCGGCGACCCTGGTCCTGGCCTACCTGATGATCCACAGGAACATGACCCTGGTGGACGCCATTCAACAAGTGGCCAAGAACCGCTGTGTCCTACCCAACCGGGGCTTTCTGAAGCAGCTCCGGGAACTGGACAAGCAGCTGGTGCAGCAGAGGCGACAGGCCCGGAGCAGTGACGACGGTGAGAAGGACAGTGAGAAGGAGCTGTAGGGCCCCACATGGAGCCTGCAGACACTGGGAATGCAGAGAGAAGGCTGGAATAGCTCGGGCCTGTGACTTCATTCATCACGGAGAAGGGACAGTGAAACTAAAGCTTGGCTTCTTCCAAACAATCTTAAACTTCCCGGGTGTGTGCTGATGAACAGGGAGGATCCAAAGCTGCCTCCTGGACAAGGCCAGTACTTGGCTTCACAGAAAAATGGGGCAGACAGGCTTCCCAGCCAGAATTGGTTACAGATGAGCACACAGTTCTGCACCAAGGCGCCTGTATTTTTTTTTTTTTTTTTTTTGTAAGATGGAAGCAGAAAAAGATTTAAAAATGTGTAAGCATTGTGTTGTGATTAAACATTTGGCTTTGTCTGAAAGTCACATCGTTAAAAAATAATTTTAAAATATAAATTTATTTTCTAACCACAGAAAAGTGCCTGGGAGAGCTGTGTTCCAGAGTTTGCACAGCTTTTTAGTGAGTCCCCTTTTTGGGGCATCTGCATTTCCTTACCGTCTCCTGCATCCTCTTTTTGATGGAATCCCCAGGCTTGGGTCACCCTATATGTGCTGCTCTCTGGAGGCTGCAGAGAGTGACTCATTTGGTAGGGGCAGGGAGTGGGGGTCCTGAGCCCCTATACAGAAGCCCCTGCTTTGGGCTCCCCCATCTTCCTCAGGGAGCCAGGGCTCTTCAGAATCTTAGCCAGAGCTGGCACTACTCAGAAAAATTCAATAAATTGTGGTAAATTTGGACAAGAGTTTGACTTTATAATTTTAGGAAAAAGAGGGAGGAGACACTCTTTAGGGGACAGGAACTTGGGGGAGCTCCTTTCATTTTGATTCTAGTCAAAGCAACACGGCTTGTTTTCAGTCACACCAGAAAGTATTTGCAGGGGCCAGCCTGGTGGTATAGTGGGTAAGTTCTCGTGCTCCTCTTTGGCCCGGGGTTTGCAGGTTCAGATCTGAGGTGTGGACCTACACACTGCTCATCGAGCCATGCCGTGGTGGTGGCCACATGCAGAATAGAGGAAGATTGACACAGATGTTAGCTCAGGGACAGTCTTCCTCACCAAAAAAAAAAAAATCATGTGATAAAAAAGGAAAGTATTTGCAAATGTGTTTGCTCTGGAATGGGAGAACGAGGCAGCCAGGTGAGCTCAGGTGTGGAGTTCCCCCACTCCTGAGAGCTAACCCAGTCACCATGACTGTGTGATCTCATTCTTGAGGAGAAAACAGCAGCAGGCACCAAGCATCTCTAGAAGAGATGGCTTCTAGAGCCGGGAACCACAAACCAGACAGAACCCAAAGAGAGATGCTGATGGAGATGCCAGGAAATCAAGGACCAGAAACCAAAACCGTCTGGAGAAAGCAAAGTGTGATAAAGGCCTGTGGGGAAAATAAGAAAAGGGGCCCATTCCTCTCATTTGGTTGTGGTTTTCACAGAATGAAAGGGGAAGTTCCTGATGGAGGGAGGATAGTGTCCGGGGCTCAGCAGCTGTGTAAAGCCACCCGAGTCACTTTGTAACCTTTGGCAGGCTGCCCTGCTTTTGTGCCAGAGGGAGGACTTGTGGCCTGGGCCCTTATGGCTGGGCCTGGCTTCCTGGGACTGCACAGGTCTGCTCTGGGACAGTCACCTTGGCTCAAGAGAAATCGGGTCCTCATGATGACTCAGATTTGGGTGTGAGGGGAGCCATACTCAGGCTCTCGGAATGACATGTAGACCAAAAGGGACTCTAGGGTCATAGTGGCCCCTACCATCACAGAATCCTGATAACCCCTTTGACACTCATTTATCTTCTAGGTCTGACCTATTCCTTGTCTGGAGAGAAATCAATATTTCCATTTTAATGAAATATTACATTTATATATCATAATGAAATATTTACATTGAAATGAATCCATATGTGGGAAGGATGGAACATCTATAGGTCCACTGCTGGTGTTCTCTTGGGTGTCCCTCCACCTTCCTACATGCTCTCACCTCTCTGGGGGACTATGAGTCCTGCTGAGGACAGCAGAAGCAGAGAACTTGAAAGTTGGAGGTCTGGTCTCTTCAAGATGGCTCCTGGGAACCACAGGTAGGAGAAAGGAGGAAGAGAAGTTTTTCCAAAAGTGTTTCAAGTCTTCAGAAGTAAAATACTAATTTGGTCAACAAATATTTATTGAGAACCTACAACATGCCAAAAACTGGGTTAGGAAGCCAAAAGTAAAAAACAAAAATGCCTGTTGTGATCAAGTGCCATGAGGGAAACAGAGACTGGGGTGGAGAACAACTGGAGACAGGACAGGGGAAAAACTCACTTTAGATGGTGTGATTGAAGAGCTCTCTGAGGAGATGAGGTGAGCTGAGACTTGAAGGAGCATGTCTTCCAAATGAGGGAAGGAAACATTCTAGGCTGAGGAACAGCACAAGTAAAGTCCCCAAGGTGGCAAAGAGGTGTGTTTTTGAGGAAACACTGAGGTGGTGTGTTTGAGGAACTGCTGTCAGTGAAGCTGGAGCTTGTGGTTGAGGCGGAAGTGGAAGGAGAGGGGTAGAGAGACGAGATTTATTTCAAGAAAAGAAAAACCACCTTAGGGTTTTAAGTGGGGGAATGGTAGGATCTATGCTTTAAGATCACTCTGGAAAGAAAAAGATCACTGGCTGAAGAATGGAGAATGGATTGTAGGGAGTCAAGAAGGGAGGCAAGAGCAGCTAGGAGGCTGTTGGAACTGTTGGCAGGAAAGAGGAAGACGGCTTGCACTAAGACAGCACCCGGGGACTAGTATTCAGGATTATTTTGGAATTATCCTGGAGAATTAACAGAACCTGCTGAGGGAGGGAGAAATGAAAGTTATTGATTCAGTTTCGTGGTGGTGCCTTGCCTTAATGCTGAGATGGGTTGACCATGACAGAAACGGGGGAGGGGGCTGCAGATCACCAGTTATATCATGTCTGTTTGTTAGACATAAACAACGTGTCCCTTGGGGCCGGCCCGGTGGTGTGCTGGTGAAGCTCGCATGCTCCACTTTGGCGGCCCAGGGTTGGCAGTTTTGGATCCTGGGTGTGGACCTACACACTGCTTATCAAGCCCTGCTGTGGCAGTGTCCCATATAAAGTAGAGGAAGATGGGTACGGATGTTAGCCCAGGGCCAGTCTTCCTCAGCAAAGAAGAGGAGGATTGCAACAGATGTTAGCTCAGGGCTAATCTTCCTCAAAAAAAAAAAAGTGGGGGCCGGCCTCATGGCGTAGCAGTTAAGTGCGCGCGCTCCATTGCTTGTGGCCCGGGTTCGGATCCCAGGCGCGCACTGACGCACCACTTGTCAGGCCATGCTGTGGCGGCGTCCCACATAAAGTGGAGGAAGATGGGCACAGATGTTAGCTCTGGGCCAGTCTTCCTCAGCAAGAAGAGGAGGATTGGCATGGATTTTAGCTCAGGGCTGATCTTCTTCACACACAAAAAAAGTGTCCCATGTCATTTGACCTTGACTCTAGAGCTCGGAGAAATGTTCATGCCTGGAGATATAATTCTGGGTGTTATCTGTGTAGAGGTGGAATTTGAAGCCATCACACTGGATGAGATAATGAGAGGAAACAGAGAGGAAGCCCCCAGGCCTGAGTGCTTGGGTGTTGGAGGGAATTGCAGGAAAGTGGGCAGAGAAGGGAGAAGGCGGATCAGGAGTGTGGAACTGTGGCAGCCTGGGTACAAAGAAATTGAAGGTACTGTTTCATAATATAACAGTACTTGTACTCCAAGTATTAAGACTGACTGTAGACCAACAATTGCTTGTAACAACAAAGTAAGCTGTATTTGTAACAGCATCTAACAGTTTTTACAGGATGATGTATTCATAAGCTAATCAGAGATGACAAGCCTTTTCAGAGTAAAGGGTTCTAGGAAAAAGAGCTGCGATTTGGAGAGAACTGGGTTTCAGCTCACAAATTTTAGCTGAGTGAGTCTGGGCAATGAGTTAGCTTCTTTGAGCCTCAACTCCTCATCTGTAAATTGGATACAACTGCCCCATTTCTTGCACAGGGTGGGTGTGTGGATCACATGGGAGGGCTGTTTGTGAACGCTTTGCAGCAATATTGTGAGTCATTATTTCTAAAATAGAATGTGGGTGAGGAAGGCTGATGCCTTCACACCTGGGTAGGCACTACTTGAGCCATTAAAAAGTAAAGGTTGGCAACTGACAACCACTTGTTAAGACTTTTATAAATGAAAGAACACATTACTGGGTGTAAGATGTGCCCTGTTAATGAATCTCAACCTAATGGTGACTGTATTTCAGGTCTGATGAATCCAAGTTCTTGTTTTCCAGGATCCTCAGTGTCACATTTATATCTGAATTGATTTCTCTAGTGAGAGCCAGTGAGGAGGAGCGTGTGGGCTCTTCTGAGGCCACCGCAGCTCAGCACGTTTCTCTCACATGCTCAGCCTTTCTGTTCTGTCAAAGAATCTTGGGACTTAGAGCCAGCAGGAAGGCTCCAGTACCTGGTTATGCTGCAGTCACCAGGAGCGTGTGAAACACAAGGAGTCCTCAGGACTGTTCTTAGATTCCTCTCGAGTAGGTCTGGGGCAGTGCCTTATCCACAGCTCCCTGGAGGACTGTGGGGCAGGCCGAGTGTGGGGGTGATGGAGCCCAGGTATCACACCCACCATAGGGTGTGGTTAGCAAGCCATTGCCAAAGAGAATACAGAGGGGAATCTCAGTCCCCTGAGAATCTTAACACAAGAGGAAAGAGACCGAATATGTGAATGCTTCAAGGTGAGGCCAGCGGGAGGTTCCGCATAGCTTCCAATCAGATTGTTAGCAGGCCCTCACCCCACCTCCCAGGCTCTGGCAGCCTCTTGCCTGATGTGTGGACCCACTGGGCTGCTAAGATCCTTAGCTGCTCCCGAACTGATGCAGCAGTGGTTCAAACAAGCAGGAACCATCGCCTCCCACTCTGAAGGTGGGTTAGAGGCTTCTTTTCCTGCCAGCACAGCACTTGAAAGGTGCTCTTCTCCCCTTTGTGACGACAGCGCTCGCAGAGGCGTCTTCTTGGAAGCTCTTCCTCCCTCAGCCACTACAG